CTCACCTTCATCAACATGCAGGATTCCTTCCCTTTCACTCTCTTCATCGCTTTGAAGTCAGACTTTATTTTATTTTTTCAGGACCTTTGTTATTTTTTGCATCTATCCTCCGAAATAAAGAACCTTATAGCCTTTTTAGCGCAGATGCGACAAAACATGATTTTCATGCCTTGTAAACAGAAATAACAAAATTTTGCATATTTAGTTTAGAGTGTTGCAGGGCCTGTTTGGAGAGAGACTCTAGTGTTGTTCAAGCAATCATTTACAGATGTTCCCTAAATGCCTCACATGTGGGAAATTATTAATTTGGTGCTTTGAAAAGAGTACAGCTGTAAGGAGACACTGGTTGGATGCGTGTGTGTGTGTGACTGTGCCTCTTCAAAACATAGCAGAGCAGATTGTGGGTTGCAGTTTCTTAAGACTTGCTCATCCAAACTACACGAGTGAGTGACTGAAGACATTTGTCACAGGAAACCAAAGGCAATAAATAATAAAATAAAAAATTGGAAACATCTATCTTTGTGAGAACAAGTTTGAGTTTTAGACAGTGTCAGCTAGAAGCTAGAAGCTGGGTGTCTTTTGTTTTCTATTAAAAGGCCAATGTGAGAGTTAAGATTAAGTGTTAAGGTGTGGTTTTATTACCAATTTGTGCTAGTTAATGCAACTGCTCATCTAAATGACCTCATTCGTGGCAGTACACTTCCCCAGATTCCCAGCAACACTCCTGCCAAGTTTCAAGAAGATTGAACAAGTCCTTGTTGAGTTAACTAAAAAAGAGCCGAAGGAAGACTATAAGATATTAATATATTATGATATTTGTTGATTTATTAGGAAGCTACCCTGAGTTAGGTTTGTATTTCTAGTCCATTGCCTGGGACTAGACTGGCTATAAACCACTTGATCATTTGCTGGTGCCTCACTGATAAATCTATATCAGGGGTGTCAAACATAAGGCCCAGGGACCAGAATTGGCCCGGCAAAGACTCCATCTAGCCCTCTGGATGACTTTGGAATATGTGACAGAGGACACAGATTTTTGACTTTTAACTGTATTTTCATGAATTTTACCCCTTTTCCCCCCCTGATAAAGACCGCCCCCACTAGCATTCATATTGCATTAAAATAATTAGGTAATAAATGTTTTTTTATTATTGACTATAGAAATTTCTTAAAATTAAAAAGTCTTTTAAAATAATAGTAAATCAAATCAAATTTTCTGTCAATTCAGTACTTTTTTAATTACTGTCTGAGCAATGAGCAATGTAATCGTGCACATTTATTTATTCATGCTGACAGATTTCTTTCATTTACTAAAGCAGAATTTCTTTATCATGTGGAAAACTGTACTGTTGAAATTGCACTTTCTTATATTAATTGCTATTAACTGTGTCATTAAACATGTATTTACACTGACAGAAAGGACATTTTTTTGGTTTGCATCTTAAGATTAAAGTGGGCTGTATGTGGTCGATGATATGAAATGAGTTTGATCTATATGAATGTGAGTTTCATATTTCCTTTTTACTCGATAAATATAATATTTAAAATCTTGGCTATAATATGTTTTATGATGAACCTGATGAAGGCCACAAGCCAAACAATAAAGTTGGCCTTTATACCACAGTTGTTGCTGAAGCTTGTTACTCTTCAGACGTCTAGACAGCTCTGATCCATGCACCTTGGAAGTAAGGCTTCCAAGAAGGCTAGAAATTTTGCTAGAAACCTCCAGTCTTCCTCACAAGTTTATTCAGCCAACCTGCAAGTACTGACTTCACCCCCAGTGCCATTGCCAGGACCCTAAGCAAGATTAGCTTAACTTGTTAACACACTAAACTAAAACGGTGAACATGAGTGACATCCCTATATCCCATGTTCAGTTAGCCTGCAAACTTCCCATTAAATATATATAGTACAGAAGCTGGCTGAAGGTGATAGTCCCCAATGAGAAGAACCAGCTGGCGCTAAATGGCTAAAATTACTTACTTCTAGACAAAAAGGGCCCATTTTATTTTAGTTTCAAATATCTATAATCTGTAAGTACATCTATGCACTTTTTATTTTTCCTACAGCTGATTTAGAATAGAATAGAATTCAATAGAATAGAATTAAACTTTATTGTCATTGCACATGCACAGGTACAGGGCAACGAAATGCAGTTTGCATCCATCCAGAAGTGCTTTAGCCGTGATATAGATATATTTCAATATATATTAGCAATAATATACATATGTAAGTATATTACAGAAATGGGTCTATTATGGTATGTTATAATGTACACGGTATGAAGTATGTTATGAATATTCTATAACTATAAGTATATACATGTAGTGAGTACAAGCTATGTACAGGCTATGAACAGGATATAAATATGAAATAAAAAAAACTATACAGAAATCTGAGATATACAGTTATACAGAAATGTGAACTATGCAAGTTATAAACAGTTGTAGGATTAAAAATGATCGTATGTACAGAATGATTATTTACACAGAACTATACAGTAGTGCAGTTCAGATAAGTGAGATATGTGGATAATTTCTACAGAGGTATATAAAGTGCTAGTGATTGTGAGTGGTGGTTCAGTCCATGTTATTATTGTGTGTTTGAGGGTACAGTTGTCCATTGTGTGTGTGTGTAGGTGGTTGTTGGTGTGTATGT